TAGCTTATCACTGAACTTGCTCACTGGTTCACAGTTCACTTCTGTATGCACCTCTTGCACACGTGTAAAACAAAACCGTGTTTGTCTTGCATCTTGTAACTTATCTGTTGAGGATGTACTACGAAACCTGTTACACTCACTAGGTCTATATGCATTACTAGACATCATGGAGCCTTCTCGATATCCACCTCTCTGAGGCCTACTCGTCATCAATGATTGCATTTTGATCTCAGACTGCTCTATTCTAGGGGTGAGATGTAATAGACTGGCGAACTTGCTCATAGATTGAGTGACACTAGTATTTACCAGTTTCAGGATATCATCAAACTTTGGCTCGATACCCTCATCCTCCATACGGGAGCTCATCTTCACCCACTTCCTTCGAAGTCGAGTAGGTAGGCGTCTTGCTATTACTTCTAGTATAAAACTCGAGTTGAGGTCACTCATGCAATTCATCGAAATCATTCCATTCTTGTAAATTAGCAAATTATCTAAAAACTCAGTGAGTGCCTTGGAGTCATCCTGTAATTGACCGCCATTACCCTTAACAACCTCGAATAATTTCCCTACAATCATCGAAGGTCTTCCAAACCTTTGACGTAATATGCTCACAGCCGCGTAGTAGCCCTCTTTTGGCTTCATAAACTTACAGCACTGTATAGCTCTTGCAGCATCTCCAGTGCAATATCTCATCAAATACATTAACTTCAATTCATCACTTGATAGAAAACTACTTAACATGATCTCAAACTCCTCAGCCGGGTTTCCATCAAAACACCGTGGTTCAAATCTAGGGAGTTTGATGTTCCTATTACCCCTGAACGGCGAAACAGTAACGTCAACCATGTCATGCTTAACATCAGACACATCGTTACAATTAACAGACAAGTCACCATGACTTACTTTCCTGTTTGCATCCAAGACACTCTGTCCCTTCTTTGACCCAGGCATTGTTGAACTTGACCCAATTCCGAAAGCGTTCCAGATATTGCTTGTTCAAAGAGGACTTGACCGGAACCAGGAAAGATGAACGGCGACTATCCAAACTTTCACCAACTGTCTGAATCCGCCATAATCTGTTTCTATCGTCAGAAACTGTCATTCACGTCTCATAAACCGTTAATGCCCAGCTCTCGCTACGCACGGGCTCACGCTGTTCCTTGAAGTTTTCAGAAACGCTTAGTTATAACGGACGCAAAAACCAAAACACTGATCTGCCGCTTGAGATTTCCTTATTGTTACACCAACATATAAAAAGAATAACTGAACTAAGGTCTGTGAACAAATATTACAATAATAAATCACAATTTTACTTCTGACGGTTTACTGCTGACTTCTTTCTGAACAGCGACCGATGAGACGATGACTGTCGTATTGATGCCTCCGCAAAAATTGGGGAAGTTGGTTTTGAGCAAACAACCGTGAATTGATCGTTCAATCTTCAACTCCACTGACAATAGATTTGATCGAAATCTGCTGCATACCATCAGGAAGGCTGGATTCACTGAAAATGTCAAGATGGATACTAGATGGGGCCCTGATGGGAAGTCTTCTAGACTGGATTACGTGCTCACTAGTGACCAGCTACTAGTGGAAAACGTTCAGATCACGACTCCCATAGGTAGTAGTGACCACGCGGTCATAGTATTCGACATAGTCCTCCGCGAGCGCTTACAGTGGGACAATACACAGCCCTATCTGTGTTATAACAAAGCCAACTACACCAAAATGCGAAGACTTCTGTCTGAAGCAAACTGGCCTAAAAAATGGACAGAGCTAACAGTAGAAGAACACTGGAGAGTGGTAAAGGAGATCATTCACCAGGCGGTCTCAGACACTGTTCCTTTAGTCTCACCAAAAGCTAGGAAGCAACGATCATGGCTAAAAGGGGGACACAACGCCTTCTGCAGGCAAAGCGAAAAGCCTGGTTTGCGTGGCGACGATCGAAGAGTCAACCCGAACATGAAGTGTACCTTGAACTCAGGAATCGATGTAACATACGAGTCCGGAGCGATAGAAGGACATTTCAGGGAGACCTCGCCAATAAGCTTCTCGTGAACCCCAAAAGCCTATACAGGTTTATGTCCGAAAGAAAACCGACCAACCAGGGAGCATGCAATCTAGTGGGTTCTGATGGGAAATCTCTTACTAGTCTTGAAATGGCAGAGACATTCAGCCTAGCCTTTCACAGGCAACTAAACAGTAACGAGGATATTACCCCACAGAACATCCAGATTACATCGCAAAACCAACACGCGAAAACCTGCTGGGTACATTTCAAATTACCCCGGCTATGGTACTTGCAAAATTGGGAAGGTTGGCTTCGGGAAAGTCTTCAGGTTGTGATGACATCAGACCATCTGTCCTGAAGCAGTGCCAACCCCTAAGCGATCTGTTCCAACACTCCCTTGATGTAGGGAAACTTCCATGTGAATGGAAACGAGCAATCCTATCCCCTATCTTCAAGGGTGGTGACCGGCAGAATGCGACCAGTTACAGACCAGTTGCTCTACTTCCAGTGATATCGAAGATATTGGAAAGTCTCATTGACGACCACATGAGAAAATACTTCGATGGGACTAACCTTCTTCACGAAGCACAGCACGGTTTCAGGAGGGGAAGATCCTGCGTGACGAATCTTCTACTAGCTTGGAACGATTGGACACTATCCTGGGACAAAAAGGTACCAGCCCACGTGATCTTTCTCGACTTTGCGAAAGCATTCGACACAGTTCACCATGGTCTGCTCCTTCACAAAATAAGCAAGGCGGGTGTTTCTGGAGCACTTCTCGCATGGCTGACAGATTACTTAGGCGAGAGAGAATTCTGCACCAAAGTCAACCGCATCCGATCATCCTGGCACACCTCGGCATCAGGGGTTCCTCAGGGTTCTATCCTAGGGCCGTTGATGTTTTTGATTTTTATCAACGACCTGCCCCCCAACTAAACTGCTCTGCGCTTCTTTACGCTGACGACGTAAAGATTTGGAGAGCAATAAACTCATCGGAAGACTCAGATAGATTGCAGGCTGACCTGCAAACTCTGGGAAACTGGGCTCTGGCTAACGGAATGCCTTTCAACCTAAAGAAGTGCAAAGTAGTGCAACTTCATTCCGGCAGGTCACAGAGTGTAAATTACACCCTTGGTGGCCAGAACTTGAGTTGTGTTCCATCAGAGCGAGACCTAGGTCTTATTCTAACAGAAAAGCTAGACACCAGTGGAAATTACTCGAGGGACGTCGCCAAAGCCTACGCAACTTTACACTTTATGCATAGGCAGCTGGGAGCTCTCACTCCCGAACTGTTCTTAAGGTTATATAAGGCATATGTGAGGCCACACCTTGAGGTGCATAATATCATTGCACCTCCGCTACTCAAAAGGGATGCTAACATTCTAGAAAGTGTCCAGAGACGAGCGACAAAATGGGTGATCGGCCTCCGCAACAAATCATATGAGGAAAGACTAAAGAAATTAGGTCTTTTCACACTTAGTTACCGAAGGCACAGGGGAGACCTCATCACCGTCTACCAAATCCTAAATGACCAGGCCCACCCAAATAAAAGCATCCTGCCATTAAGTGATTATAGGCTTCCACGAGGTAACCCGCTAAGGATAGCACACCAGAGACCAAAGACTCGAGTGCGATCACATTTCTTTTCGCTTCGTGTTTGCCGTCTCTGGAACGCTTTACCGGCGGCCGTGACTACAGCGCCATCTCTGGAGATTTTTAAGCGGAAGCTAGACAATCATGCAGAAATGCAAGGTTTGTGTCTCAATGGCTTATCCTCATAAAACTTGAAACCACACTGTCAATGATAAGCGTACAAACTAAATCCCCACGACCTATTCTGCCTTCTCTCACTCTATCTTTTCCTTAGGTCACCTTTATTATTCCACTTATCTCAACCTATATTATCTACACTACAACCCATTATTTTTATTCTTATTATTATTACTACTATTCTGCTTTTATGACTACACCGAATGACCAACGGGAGTTAGGTCAAACTCCATTCACGGCAGCAATACAGTCCTAACATACTGCATACTACAAACCACATCTCGACCAATCCCCGCACCACTCCTCCTGGAGTCTACCAGAGCTAAAGCAGTCGAGTGGCGGGACTTACTACGCAGAAGCTCACCGAAGATCTGGAACCTCTACCTCACAATCAAGAAGCGAGCTCAAAGAAATCACTGGTTTATACTAGCTCGTAATCAGGATATTGGATATTGGATATATTTTTCATTGTAGTGGGTGCACAACTATCTATGCACGCCAGTGAAAATGATGTATGCTGGTTGGAGTAAGCGTCTAACAACAGGAGAGAAAGAAAATGTAGAACCGCTTCTGTAGCCATCGCTCTCCTCGGATGACATAATGAAACATCTCAAGAAGAAATTTGACAGAGAAATAGTCTTTAATGACATTTAAAAAATATGGAAGTATCCGTAAATAAAGGTATGCAAACTTCATGTGTATTGGTCCCAAGAATGTCAAGTCAAATCCCGTGGGAAGGTAATATAGTTTTATTCGGATGAAGGCATCTGAAATTCACTGTTCTTTGACTTTCAAGCAAATACAGTTGTATAAACAATTTCTAGGTGGTGGCAAGAATTGAAACTCCGTACAACACAAACACGGCAAAGTACCGTATGCAATTCGCTAAAGAATGCAGGTATTCCTTGGGTCAGTTTGTCATAATAGATAACACTAGACAAAAATATCGTGTTCTTTTCTATTGCTAAATCCGTTGCAATTATAGTATACCAATACGTCGCACATACACTTAAAAACGTTGCCAACATACTCTGACGAAAAGTGATACCCTTTCGATCGATGGGTACCACACGTCAACACTAGTATATATTCTCCGTAAGACAAATGTAATTACCAAATAACAGCAGCGGTGCGATCGCATAAAAAAACTAAAGTTCTCACCATAAGAGTGCATGCCTACAGTTAAGCATTGAAATCTTAGTCGACAGCCAAAATAGAGACAAAACTATTATGTGCACAGCTCGTCTCAAAAAACAACATACTAGCAGCAGCTCAACGAATCACGATATCAGAAAGCAGTTGACTTTAATGAAACATATTTCTAATATTCTCGACAAATGAATTTATAGTGCTTCCACATATCATAAAAGTCAAACACCACATAAATCATCAGAAACACTCATCCGTGTGCTTTCTGCATCTGGTCTGTTTTCTTTGTTTTCCATATCAGTGATCTGAAAATAAAATCTGGAAAAAATAGAGAACTATCAAAGGAGATTGTCCTCGTTTTCTCACTCTCGACTTCAACCTGTCGCGACTGTTATGGAACCAATGTTGAATGGAAGTCACGATGGCGTCCACTGTGCTACGTTTATCAGCACTGTCTTGTTGGTGGCAACTGTGAACGGTTCCTAACAAACACAATGAAAACAAACTTCACTTACGGATCACAAGGTTACACGTTTTAGTGTTCTTGAATTGCTTCTTCTCCTTGGCAGCAGCCCATGAAAAATGTGAGATGTATGTCGGCTCCGGCAAAGCATTCATGACACGACCAATGGAACTTTGGACACTGCTGTCAACTAGAGTGACAACGTCGACAGACACACTACGATGGTATTCCTCGTCGGACAGTTTCGTCTCAAAAGATGACATGACGGTGTTGCTGCCCCGCTGCCATGTGCCTGAAGACTTCAAGACTTGAAGAGAGTTCTCACAAGAGACATTCTGGTCAATGCTGTTGACCACTTTGAGTCGCCAGAATTTAGCCTCAATCGAAGCGACAAATGACTCCATTTGTGACTGACTTTCACAAACTTTAACTCTTCCAGACAACCAGATGTGAAAGTAACTGTCTCCTCAGTCTTCGGGCACCTGCAAGTAGTATTTGAAATGAAATTGAACTTCCATGTCAATGGGTATTGGACTGTAGGTATTCGATGTCGAAGTGACAGAAGACAAGCTGAAATGAAATTCTCCAAGTTAATTGTAATACACCTTTCATTGGTGGTCACATTGGATGGCTTTCGGAAAATAGGTGTGTCGAACTGAAATTCTCTGTCAGACAACAACCCAGGTGGATAGTTTAAAGGGGCAGCATCCTCCGAAACCTTTCTTGTCGGTTTCGTAACACTGGGAGGAATAACAACTTACCGGTTTACTCTGCATCGACTTGCAGGCTCCGTGTCCTCAGATGACGAACCCCTTAGTGGTTCGTGCAAAACTTCCGATGCAGTTTGCACTGCAACTGCCTCCTCAAAATTATCTGAAAAGGAGCATTATTAAAAAATGTGACATTACCGTAGCGTCCCAAAAATAGGAACTCATAAGTCATGGAACCCGGAGCGGCCTCTGCATGTGCCATTGTAACAACAGAAGACAAGGGCCAGGCAACAGATCGTTTTATTATGAAAATCAACACGTATTTATACATCTTTCAACTACATTATTATAGACAAGCGCAGTCATCTGATTGGTTGTTTAGGTAGACAAACGCAGGCTTCTGATTGGTTGTTTCGGGATTCCTTGACAAATAGAGTTCTCTCTGCGAATCATATTCTGCCACGTTAACTTTGCTGTGATTGGTTGTTGACTCAGGCTTGTTCATATTTTCTCACGGCCCATATTAGTGACCTAGACCTTAACGTAGATTAGTGCCAACCAATCGGCTAGCAGCCTGCTCTCACCACACTCGTCCCCCGTCAAATACGTGCGACTGAAGTCGGCTTGATCTACTTGGTGCAGGCGTCATCGTTGGCTTGTCTCGCTGTATCCATTTCTGGAGCTCGCTGACGTTCACGCGCCTCTCATTGTTCGCCATTGCGACTGTGTCTGCGTAACCCCATCTCGAAGTGACCATATATGGTCCTTCCCACTTTGGAAACTGTTTGCCTGACCCTGTCGAACATTCGTCCATACTTCGGCCCACACCTTCATATGCTGCTTTCGCCCGACCTCCCAGCAGCGTCTCAAGTAGTAGCTCCATCGCTGACAGATCTTGAACGCCACTCAACTGCGCAGAAGCCTTGAAGTCCTGCCCGAAGATCCATATGTCTCCATCAAAAACTGCAGGGTATAGGCTTTTCATTTATCGGTAGGCAGCGACACCAAATGTAACAACAGAAGACAAGGGCCAGGCAACAGATCGTTTTATTATGAAAATCAACACGTATTTATACATCTTTCAACTACATTATTATGGACAAGCGCAGTCATCTGATTGGTTGTTTAGGTAGACAAACGCAGGCTTCTGATTGGTTGTTTCGGGATTCCTTGACAAATAGAGTTCTCTCTGCGAATCATATTCTGCCACGTTAACTTTGCTGTGATTGGTTGTTGACTCAGGCTTGTTCATATTTTCTCACGGCCCATATTAGTGACCTAGACCTTAACGTAGATTAGTGCCAACCAATCGGCTAGCAGCCTGCTCTCACCACACCATGACTTCATCTCATGAATACGAGCGTGGGGTGATCAGTGATCTACCAGTCGCTCATAACTCGCTAACTACCAAAATCTTGTCAATAGCAGGGGCCTTGACTACCATGAACTGTCTAGTCGCCTGCAAGTAGTGTACCACTACGATAAACGAAAATAGCGACATAGGAAGAAGGGAAGTCTTGCAAGACGTATATTGATACAAGTGTGTACGTATTATAACCAGACCAAGTGAATACGAGACCAAACTGACCGTTCGGTCGTATCCTTGGTATCGGTCAACTGTGGCTGCATGTAAAGGAATGAGTGGTTATTAGGCTACGGCAAGTGAGAGGTGTGCAATATGAAAATTACAACTGAGTTATGCTAAAAATTACGCTAATGAACTCCACCCGAATTTCACTGAAAGCGTGAATACTTGTCTCACATTCTAAGTTCTCAACCTGATATATTCCAATATCCCTAGAATCCAATGGGTGTGTCAGCCAACTCTCAGAAACTGCCAATGTCCAGCACTTACTACGCTGGACCTCACGCTGTCCCCGGAAGACTTTCAGAAACAATTTGTTATAACCAACGCGAAAAGCCACAACACAGATTGGCGACTCGAAAGTCCCTTATTCTTACGCCAATATGTAACCGACAATATGGTTATTACACAAGGTCTAATAATATATGTCATAACAATAAATCCCCATAATATTTCTAATAGTTTTCATATCTTCACTGAACAGCGACCGATGAGACGATGACTGTCGTATTGATGCCTCCGCGAAAATTGGGGAAGTTGGTTTTGAGCAAACAACCGTGAATTGATCGTTCAATCTTCAACTACATTGACACTCCCCGTCAAAAAACGCATCCATCCCCTTTTTCCATCACGACCAATACACGTTGACTTGGATGCCATTGCGAGAACCTGGGCCACACGGACAAAGTTGAAATGGAAAACAAACAGAAAAGACAACACACCACGGGCATACCCACAGCACAATCACACTAATCGATGACGACCTGCGCCTTTCAGTTAAAAGCATCCTCTTGACGTCTTGTGACACAATCGCCACTTCCTGGAATGACACTTGTGGAGAGCAACGTGACCATAGCACCACCTCACGATACTCCACGCACATCGTCTTATCTACTCACTACCAACTACCACTGCTATCGCTTGTCCCTCATTCTGCCTCAGTTTAAGTAACAGTGACGTATGCAAGCCTAAATGTCGTCCACGCTCTTGCTCCGCGGCGTGTGGGACCACAGCCTAAATAGAAACATTCATTCCCAATCACTGATTCAAAGATAGACTAATACAAAACTCACCGTTTGTTTGTATTTTGCTGTCGGTCAGCTGCTCCTGCATGTGAACGAATGGAAATTACAACGGAGTTATGCAAAATCTCAAGATAATGCACTCCAAACGATTTTCACTGAAAGCGTGAATACATGTCACACCCTATAGGTCGTCAACCTGATAAACTCCAATTGTCAATGCAGTTGAAGATTGAACGATCAATTCACGGTTGTTTGCTCAAAACCAACTTCCCCAATTTTCGCGGAGGCATCAATACGACAGTCATCGTCTCAACGGTCGCTGTTCAGAAAGAAGTCAGCAGTAAACCGTCAGAAGTAATATTGTGATTTATTATTGTAATATTTGTTCACAGACCTTAGTTGTTACAGTGTTTATAGGTTGGTGTAACAATAAAGAATCCTCGAGTCACCAATTGGTGTTTTGGTTTTTCGTCCGTTATTACTAAGCGTTTCCGAGAAACTTCAAGGAACAGCGTGAGCCCGAGCACAGCAAGAGCTGGGCATTGACGGTTTACGAGACGTGGCTGACAGATTCTGACGGTACGAAGTCAGTTTTTAAACTGTTTCGGACAGTTGGCACGAGTTTGGAAAGTAACCGTTCATCTTTCCTGGTTCCGGTCAAGTCCTCTTTGAACAAGCAATATCTGGAACGCTTTCGGAATTGGGTCAAGTTCAACAATGCCTGGGTCAAAGAAGGGACAGAGTGTCTTGGATGCAAACAGGAAAGTAAGTCATGGTGACTTGTCTGTTAATTGTAACGATGTGTCTGATGTTAAGTATGACATGGTTGACGTTACTGTTTCGCCGTTCAGGGATAATAGGAACATCAAACTCCCTAGATTTGAACCACGGTGTTTTGATGGAAACCCGGCTGAGGAGTTTGAGATCATGTTAAGTAGTTTTCTATCAAGTGATGAATTGAAGTTAATGTATTTGATGAGATATTGCACTGGAGATGCTGCAAGAGCTATACAGTGCTGTAAGTTTATGAAGCCAAAAGAGGGCTACTACGAGGCTATGAGCATATTACCTCAAAGGTTTGGAAGACCTTCGATGATTGTAGGGAAATTATTCGAGGTTGTTAAGGGTAATGGCGGTCAATTACAGGATGACTCCAAGGCACTCACTGAGTTTTTAGATAATTTGCTAATTTACAAGAATGGAATGATTTCGATGAATTGCATGAGTGACCTCAACTCGAGTTTTATACTAGAAGTAATAGCAAGACGCCTACCTACTCGACTTCGAAGGAAGTGGGTGAAGATAAGCACCCGTATTGGGGATGAGGGTATCGAGCCAAAGTTCGATAACATTCTGAAACTGGTAAACAATAGTGTCAATCAATCTATGAGCACGTTTGCCAGTATATTGAATCTCACTCCCAGAATAGAGCAGTCTGAGAGTAAAACGCAATCATTGATGACGAGTAGGCCTCAGAGAGGTGGTTATCGAGAAAGCTCCATGATGTCTAGTAATGCATATAAACTTAGTGAGTGTAACAGGTTTCGTAGTACATCCTCAACAGATAAGTTAAAAGCTGCAAGACAAACACGGTTGTGTTTTATAAGTTTTCAAGAGGTGCATACAAAGGTGTCAATGGAGTTGAAGATTGAACGATCAATTCTTGGTTGTTTGCTTAAAATCAACTTCCCCAATTTTCGCGGAGGCATCAATACGACAGTCATCGTCTCATCGGTCGCTGTTCAGAAAGAAGAGTGAAACATCGTCAGAAGTAATCTTATGATTTATTATTGTAATATTTGTTTTCAGACCTTAGTTTGCTTAGTTCGCTTATTCCTTTTATATGTTGGTGTAACAATAAACAAATCTAAAGCAGCAGATCAGTGTTTTGGTTTTTGCGTCCGTTATAACTAAGCGTTTCTGAGAAATCTTCGAAGAACAGCGTGGGCCCGAGCGTAGCGAGAGCTGGGCATTGACGGTTTACGAGACGTGGCTGACAGATTCTGACGGTACGAAGTCAGTTTTTAAACTGTTTTGGACAGTTGGCACGAGTTTGGAAAGTAACCGTTCATCTTTCCTGGTTCCGGTCAAGTCCTCTTTGAACAAGCAATATCTGGAACGCTTTCGGAATTGGGTCAAGTTCAACAATGCCTGGGTCAAAGAAGGGACAG